CTATCTATCTATCTATCTATCTATCTATCTATCTATCTATCTATCTATCTATCTATCTATCTATCTATCTATCTATCTATCTATCTATCTATCTGGTCCCGTCTCCCAACGTTATTTTGCAACACTGCGCGGCAGGGCTGGTCGACGCTACTCCTCGTCACCCGAGCCGTGACGCGCAACGATACACGACGAAAGGCGATACTATTGTGACAGATCCGCCGGGTCCCGGTTCCGATAGCTTCCCCATCCCTATTGCTTCCCCCTACCCTATTGCTCACCTTGTTGTCATTCATTGCAGGCTGCAGCAGCGCAAACCGGGTCAGGCTTGTCAAAGCTCTTCCCGCAAGTAACGCAGCAGGTAAATTTGCCTACATGAGCTCTCGCGTTGCGCCCCGGAGCTCAGTTTATACCAGTAAATTACTTGACTAAACCTGCAAAACTTTAACCAACCTCACGCGTTTTATTGTAAATATCACTAGGCCTTACCTTAAGAGCAATTTTATTTTTTAAAAGGCGTTGCCGAGTCAGTCTTTTCTCGGTCAATACTTTCTCTGCCTGCTTGTTTCCGGCCGCCTGCCAAACTAAAATAATATATAGATATCTACCTTCAAAACAAAAGGCAATTGTTTTTTCCAATGAGACAAATTTTTAATGTTGCTGAGCCATTTACGGAGAAAGATGAATAGCTTTGCTAACTCTGTAGTTTGCAAGAGTTAGGGCCACTGCTGCTGGCTCTTTTTGAAGCTGATTACGGGCAGAGCCTATTCTTTCTTGTTACTGTTGTGCACGTAGCATGGTGCGTAGCCAAGTGTAACTGAACTAACTTCGCTACCGCAACCACGCGAGGGTAGCGTCCTGTCTAGTATTGTCATGTAGAAGGCCAGGGTGCATTTCGCTTCCGGTTTGCTTTGGTGATGGTGGTGTGGTGTGATCACGGGTGTGGTGTTCAACTGGCCGCGGTATTCCCTCATGATTTCGGCTTGTTTTCCTTGCCGTTGGTTTGGACTTTTCTTAGCCGCACACTTCTTCTCTTCCCTGGCACAAGTTTCTTGACTCTAGACAACCCCCTCACTCCACCCATTTTCAACTTCTTGCAAACGTCCTATTTGTTTACCTCACATTTTTGTATTAAAACTAAACTTGTAGATATCCACATTATTTATTCTCGATCGCATTTCTGTTTTTTTATTTCCCTCTGTCCCGATTCGGTGTACCCCGTTTGTCCCGCTGCCAGGTTCACGCTCCCCCGCTCGAGAAGCTGACTGATTGACCAGCCCCCCTGGCTCGTGCGGCGGCGCTGCTCGGGGTCAGGGAGTAGGGGCGCGCACCCGCTCGCGCTGGCGGGGTAGGGGCGGTCGGCTGCCCCTCGCCTCTCCCCCACGCCGCGCGCGTCCAGGAGCACGGCGTGGTTGCCGCGCTCAGTGTGGCGCGGGGCGGCGCAGGCCCAGGACCGGGACCGGCTCTGCGCAGCGCGGCGAACGCAAGCCCCGCGCGCTCGGCGGCCGCTCGCTCTCGCGCACCGCTCGCCCGTGGGAGTGTGACCCCCACCCCCACCCCCCTTGTGCCCTTTGCCCTCGGCGCGGAGCACCTCCCCCTGGTGGACGCGTACTCCTGCTACGCAAACTTTTTCCCTCAGCCCGCCCTCCACCCTCTTCCCCCTCTCTCCTCGTCTCTCGCTGCTCTCTCCCGCTCTCTCTCCTCCTCTCTCCTAGACATCCCTATCGCACTCTCTCTCTCTCACTCTTGCTCCTCCTTCCACTCTGCCGCGCGTCTTGTCCCCACCTGTTCGCCGACGGCCCCGACCCGGCCCGGTCTCGCAAGTCCCCGCTAACAACAAACAGTCTGTGCGGTCGAGGACGGGACCTCTACAGCGTGCTGCCGCCTCGCCGAGGCTCGCCGAGGCTCGCCGCTCTCCCACGAATAGCTCGCACTCCGAGCGGAAGCAGCTCTTCCTGTTTACGGACCGGCCCCAGCCGCGGGCGGTGTCGTCCGCGCCATGCTCCTGATGCGAGAGGTCGCCGCCCGACCTTGAGGGCCAACCTTGAGGCGGCCGATGGCTGTCCGCCGCGATGCAGGCCGAGACGGGCACGCTCCGGCGGGTGCGGCACAAGCTGACGCGCCTCTGGCGCGAGGACCACGAGCCGAGCGTCGACGAGACCGGCATGACGTCCTCGGCGCCGGCCTCGCCCGAGCAACAGTTGGACTTGCCGGAGGCGCCGCCCGCCGCGCGCACGCCGTCGCCGACCTCGACGCCGACGGGGCGCGTCAACCCCCGGCAGCTGCTGCGGCACGTCCTGCACCACCGGAGCCTCGGCGGCGGCGGTGGCAGCCTCGGCGGCAGCGCCAGCAACAGCAGCATGGCCGACAGCGGCAGCTGCGACTCGGACGAGCTCGTCCCGGACAACGACCTCAGCGACGACCACGAGGACGCGACGGACGAGGACGCCGACGAGCACGATCCGGCGCACGGCCAGGGCAAGGGCGACAGGCTGCTCGAAAAGATAGGGCAGAAGTTGCGGCACCGCGGCGACCGGATGCAGAAGGTGAGGCGACGTTCGGATGGCCTACCTCACAGGCGGATGGTGGCCTACCTCACAGGCGGAAGGTGGCCTACCTCACTGGCGGATGGTGGCCTACCTCACAGGCGGTTGGCGGCCTACCTCACAGGCGGAAGGTGGC